GAAAGGGGTAGAGGAAGAAGAAAAGGAATGGAAAGGTGAGGAAAGAGGGAGAAGAGAGGGGGAATGAGATGGGAAGAAGGGATATATGGAGGGGGAGGAGGCAAATGTGAAAAAAGAGAAGGGAGGATAAAGAAGGGACGGGATAATAGGAAGAGGAGAGAGAAGAAGAGGAAAGAATGGGTAGGAAGTAGGGAAAAAACAACAGAGGAAGAAGGAATAGAAGATAAATAATAAGTGGGGGAAAGAGGAAGAAGAGGAGGGTGAAAAAGAAGTAGGGGAGGCGGAAGGATAGATAGGAGAGGAAGAAGTGAAGAAGGGGAGAGAGGAAGACTAGAAGAGGAAGAGGGAGGTAGTGGTAAAGGTAAGGTGAAAAAGAAGAGGGGGTGAGGTAGGGGATCTATGATTGTGGTTGAGGGGTAATAATTGTGGTTGATTGTGGTTGAGGGGTGATAATTGTGGTTGATTGTGGTTGAGGGGTAATAATAGGTTGATTATGGTTGAGGTAATAATAGGGGTGATTGTGGTTGACAGGGTAATAATTGTGGGTGATTGTGGTTGACAGGGTAGTAATAGTTGTTCATTATAGTTGAAGGGGGAAAATAAAATGGTTGACTAGTTGAAGGGGAAAAATAATAGTGGTTGGCTCTGTTGAAGGGGGGGAGGAGAGGCAGTTGAGAAGGATAATAACAGGAGTGATTGGGTGAGAGGGGTAATAATTGTGGTTGATTGTGGTTGAATGGGACACTAACAATTATTAATACTATGTTTAACAAAGGTGAGACATTGTTTTGACTTTAGCTGCGAGGGGGAAGGGGGAAGGGAGGGGAAGGTAGGGGTAGGTAAGGAAGGGAAGGGGGAAAGGAGGAGGGGGGGGAGACAGCAACACCACCAACAACTTACTGTATTGATGGGAGGGGGATGGGGGGTGGTAGTGAGGGGGTGATGGTGGTGAGGGGGTTAGTGGTGGTGGTGGTGGTAGTAATGTTGACTGATTGTTGTTGTGAGGGTAGTTTAATGCGGATTGTAATGGCAAGTAACTACAATTGAGGATAGAAATTGTGGTGACCAGACGGGGTAATGGTGGTTGATTGCATATAGAATGATGGTGTTTCTGGTTGACTGTAGTTGAGATTGATGTTAACATTAGTTGACAGTAAGTGAAGAAAAAGACTGCTATTTGAGAAGGGGGTAGTGGTGGTGGTAGACTGTAGTGGGTGTTGGTAATGGTGGTGGTTGATTGTGGTGGGTGTTGGTAATGGTGGTAGATTGTGGTGGGTGTTGATAGTTGATTGTGATGGGTGTTGGTAGTGGTGGTGGTAGATTGTGGTGGGTGGTGATAAGTGATGGTGGTAAATTGTGGTGGGTGTTGATAAGTGATGGTGGTAGATTGTGGTTGGGGAGGATATCAATGGTAGTTTATACGCGTTTATACCATCAACACTACTGTACGGAGGTGGTGTGAGGTTAAGACACAATGAGAATGACCCTATGATGTGTTTACGGACGATGGACTACATGTGTGTGTGTGTGTGTACGTGTGTGTGTGCGTGTGTACATGTGTGTGTGTGTACGTGTGTGTGTACGTGTGTGTGTACGTGTGTGTGTAAGGCCCTGACGACGCTGAACAAACAATAGTGACAGATCAGTTCCTCGCCTGCAGCCTGACGCTTCCTGGCGAGAACCCCGAGTGACAAGAAAGAAATTTGGAGGAATGAGAGGGAGTTAGTCTGAGGAGAAATAGAGGAGGTAGTCTGAGGAGTAAATGAGGGGAGTCTGAGGGAGTAAATGAGAGGGAGGTAGTCTGAGGGAGTAAATGAGAGGAGGTAGTCTGAGGAGTAAATGAGAGGGAGGGTAGTCTGAGGGAGTAAATGAGAGGAGTTAGTCTGAAGGAGAAATGAGAGGAGTTAGTCTGAGGGAGTAAATGAGAGGGAGGGTAGTCTGAGGGAGTAAATGAGAGGGAGGTAGTCTGAGGGAGTAAATGAGAGGGAGTTAGTCTGAGGGAGTAAATGAGAGGGAGTTGTTTGCACTGGATGTGATTCTTCCCAAGTGATACATTTTTTTTTACTTGTGTTTATTTATTTTATCAAGGCGTTATTTTATTTTTATCTTTATTATATATATTTTTAATGCGCCAAGTGAAGGTGTGTGTGTGTGTGTGTGTGTGTGTGTGTGTGTACCATTATTCACGTACATGTTGGTGGTTCAACCGGAACAACACGTCGCCACGAGAAGTTAGTCACTTGTTCCCCATCCACGCCCAACCCACACTACCCGCCCACGCCTGCCCACTACCTGCCCACGCCCGCCCACACTACCTACCCACACCCGCCCACTCTATCTACCCACACTTACCCACCTGTTACACTCACATCATTGTCGTACAATCGTCGCCGTGCTTATCAACTTAACCACTTACACTCACCGACCAAACAGACAGCCCACATCCATCAACATTTATCACCGCCCATACTCATCTCACTCAACGCCGCCCACAACCATCACTGACTCTCAATACCGCCTGCAATCATAACCTAAACTCAAAACGCCCATACTCACCACCCATGCACCACCCACACCCACCACATGAAGAAAATAAATCACACCAAAATACCAAAACAATAAGTTAAAATATCCACACACCCAGACATACCCACATCCACAAATTAAACCCACAATATCCACAACTCTCACAACATCCACCAACTTGAGTCACATCAGATACAGGAACACTTAAACAAGATAATTCAGATAGGTAGAAATTGACTACCTTGTGAGTGATTGACTTTACGTACTCATCAAGAGGCAGGTGGCGACGTGTAGTGGTGATAGTGAACCATTTACAACAAGGAATAATAATTAGATGGTGTTAGTGGATCATATATGGTGTTAGTGGATCATATATTGACCAATTTATGCAGGTGTTGTTGTTGTTGTTGTTGTGGTTTTATTATTGTTATTATTATTGTTATTGTTGTTGTTATTAATGTTCGTATTATTATTATTATTATTATTATTATTATTATTATTATTATTATTATTATTATTATTATTATTATATATTACAATAACTCCTCACACATATCGGGTCTTGATAACTAGGGGAGGAGATGAGGGAGGAGATGAGGGGAGGGGAGATGAGGGGGGGGAGATGAGAGGGAGGGGGAGGAAGCAGTAAGGAGAGGGGTGAGAAGAAGTGGAGAGGAAATGGGAGATGAGAGGAAGGTGGGAGAGAGGATAAAGGAAGGGGAAGGGAGATGAGAGAAAGGGGATGGGGAATGAGAGGAATGGGAAGTGAAAGGAAGATAAAAAGAAGGCAGAGGAAGGAAGAGGGAAGGAGATGGAAGGTGGGAGAAGGTAAGGGGGGAGACTAACACCTTTAGTTGAGAATTACCAGGGAAACGGGAGCTTAAATACGGCATAAGAAACCCGTTCTCCTTCCTCGCTAGTGAAAGGTCTTGGCTGGTCGAGGCTGTAAAATTATTCTTATCTTGATAATTAAAGGTTTTCACAGCTGAATGAAGAAATAAGAGGAAATGGACGATAATTATTTTTGCTCTCAATCTTTTTCTTTACCTGTGTTTCATTCTCTATTTATGCATTACCTCGTTGTTCTTCTTTCTCTCTCTCTCTCTCTCTCTCTCGTTCTCTTTTTTTTCTCGTTTCGGTTTAATTACTCTCTTCTTACCTCTTTTATTTCCTTCCTTTCTTTACATTTTTATCATTTTCTTACTTTATTCAATTTCTAGTTTCCTTTTTTCCTCTTTTTTACTCCCTATTCCTTTCTTACTCTCTCTTTAACTTCTTGTTCCTTCTCCTACTTCTCATTTTTTATCCTCTCCCCCCCTCTCTCTCTCTCCCTACACACGACAAGCCCCCACACCCCCACCCCTACACCCTACACCCCCACCAGGAGCGTTTCATCACCCTCGGGGACGTGAAATAATGTGTTCTTGAGCGGCTGAAAGAAATCTACTGAGTTAACGCCTCAGTAACTCCCGCTCTTCAAGGCTTCACTTACGGCAATTTCCAAGGCTTCTGTCGAGGTTTCAGTTATGACAATATTCAAAGCTTCATAATTAAGACTATTTCAAAAGCTTCATCAACGAGTGCTTTTTTCGAAGGCTTCACTTATAACAATCATCAAGGCTTCATACCTATAACACTTAACAAATCCTTCATGGTACGATACTGAAATCTCGTAACAAAACTCCAAACACACACACACATACAGACATACAACACGGTACATATGCTTACCTTCATCCTGCGCTGGGACTTGAGGTGTGTGTGGGGGAGGAGGAGGGGAGGAAACATCAACACCAATGACGTATACCTGTTGATACCTGTTGAGAGAGAGGTGAAACTAATTAATGACTAAATTGGTTAATAAACAAAATCTAATGATATAATCGATAATATGCTAAAAATAAATGAATAATTATTGAATGGAAACTAAGTTCATGATTAGTCTACTTTGTATAGTGTATGTGTGTGTGTGTGTGTGTGTGTGTGTGTGTGTGTGTGTGTGTGTGTGTGTGTGTGTGTGTGTGTGTGTTTTGCTCTCTTTCTTTATCCACCTCACACGAAAGAGGAAGAGGAGTAGGGAAGTTAGACAGCAAAAATAAAGACTTAATTTATTGCCGCTGTTGAAGAAGGAGGGGAGAGGAGGGTAAGGGAGAGGGAGGGGGGAAGAGGGGAGGGGAAGAGGGAGGGGGGGGTATATACGCTCTTAAGAATCGATAAGCTATTGTTTTATGTGGTGAGAATGTACGAGTATATTGCATGCTTATTGGACGAGTAATACACCTCACACACCAAAAGCACACGCCATTCCACGCTGACACACACACAACACACACACACACACACACACACACACACACACACACACACACATGTGACACCCCCTCCCAAAGATTCATGTCCACTAAGCTGTGAGAGACCATAAAACCTATGTCATTTCTGCCTAACTATTTATAATGTTTATTTCTTGTTCTCAGGCGGACTGGAGAGGGTGATGGGGGTTACCTACTAGGGTAAGCGAGTCACATCTGGCCTTAGGAGTTGGGGAGGGCAAGAAATGGTGGTGATGGTGGAGGTAGTGGTGGTGGTGGTGGTGGTGGTGGTGGTGGTGGTGGTGGTGGTGGTGATGGTGGAGGGTAGTGGTGGTAGTGGTGGTGGTGGTAGTGGTGGTGGTGGTGGTGGTGGTAGTGGTGGGTGGTGGTGGTGGGTGGTGGTGGTGGTGGTGGTGGTGGTGGTGGTGGTGATGCTGGTGGTGGTAGGGATGTTGTTATCGAGAAGTAATCGTAAGAGATATAGTAGTGGTAGTTGATAGTGGTAGTGGTAGGGTGTAGGGAAGAATATTGGGATGGGGGGGTGATGATTGTGGTAGGGAAATAAAGTTTTAGGAAATGGTGGTTGTTGTTGTGGTTAGAAATGGTGGATAGAGATTAGTCTACTGAATTATGATGAGTGGTTATAGCGATATTAGGGAGAGTTGTAGTAGTGGTGGTTATGGTGCTAGTAGAGATGGTTGTAGTGGTGGTGGTTATGGTGCTAGTAGGGGTGGTTCTAGTGATGACGGTTATGGTGTTAGTGGGGATGGTTGTGGTGATTATAGTGCTAGTTGGGATCGTGGTAGTGGTGGTAGTAGTTGTAGTAGTGGTGGTGGTGGTGGTGGTGGTGGTGGTGGTGGTTATAAGGATGTAGCGGTAATAATTGTAATTAATAATGTTAATAATTATAAATAACAATAGTAGTGATGATGATGATGATGATGATGATATTAATGATGATGATGATGATGATGATGATGATGATGATGATAATGAAGATGATGATGGCAATAACTGTAGTGTAAATAATGTTTATGGTAATGATAATAATAATGGTGATGGTGATAATGAAAGCAATAACTCAGGTAGTGAACATGGTAGGATAGAAAGATATATGGAAGAACAGAACAGGGAACAAAGAAGCGGAAAGATAAGAGGAATAAAAAGAAAAATATGGATGCAACTTAATGATAACAATATGGAATCTTATACATAAAAACACAGCACAAAATAATGATTAAAAAAAATTCAATAATTACACCAATAAATGATAAAGTAAAAACAATTAGTTATCCCTTAAATTGAGTTTTTAAAGACTATTTTGATTTTTTTTTTAGATGGGGAGGAAGGAAAGGAAGGAGGGTGGGGGGTAGGGGGGTGGGGGGTAGGGGGTGGGGGGTAGAGGGGTTAGAGGAGTCATGATCGTATGAAAAAAAAAATCTAAAATAACATTAAAATTTGAACATACCTTTAGTTAAAACTCTCTCCTTGATGATAACTATACACAAAAATATTTAGCAATAGAGAAGAAAAAAATAATAATAAAAAATAGCAAGATAGGATCAGAAATGCCAAGAACCTTACGTCAAAGTGTAATGAGGACTAGGAACGCGCCCTCGGTTATACATCACAGTAATGGCCAATACCAGTGGGGGAGAAATTAAAGTACAAAACACAACTTAAGCGAATGTAATTATACGGAGGGAGAGACAGATGGTCGACACTCACAGAAACACTGACAAATTTACCAGCGTTATCCGTGCGCTTTGTACATTAGGGGGGAGGAGGAGGGGGGAGGGGGTAGGGAAGGGGAAGGGGGGATGGAGGGGAGGGGGAGTGAGAGGGGTAGAGGAGAGGGGAAGAGGAGGGAGTAGGGAGGTGGAGGGTGGAGGAAGGGGAGGGAGAGGGCACGGTAGAAAGGGAAGGTGGAGGGAGAGGTGAAGACAGGGAAGGAGAGAGGAAAGGGGGGGGGGGAAGGGGTGGAGTAAAATATACCATAATTTACAGCATGGCTTCAGTCCTTCCCATAAGTTATCATCTCTGGCAATAGGTGACACTTTAGTAATTTATAGATCAATTTATATAACACTGAACAAGAGTATATGGTCTCTCAAAACTGACAGGAATTTATATGATGTATCGAGTCGATTTATATACATTCAAATCATGATATACTTAAATATTATAACAATATATAAAAATTGATGTAGTTTGTATATTTAAACGTTAGATAATATACATTTTTTATAGTATATACAGAATTCTCATATATAAAAACACCTTAAAAATAACTAACATGAAATACATAGTCGTTTGTTTATATAAATTATAATATAGTTTAAACCTATACCTTATAAATATCTGTCTATAAAATGAGCCTATATAGTTCACCAATTCCTATATCATATAGAAAATAATATCGCTTTCAAACAAAAAAAAACTAAGTCATCTACAACACAAGAAGGAAATAGTGGATTAGGAACGTAATATATCATAATTCTATATCATCAACATATATAAGAACCATCCTATATGATTTAGTCATTTGTATAATAAGAGAAACGTGTCTCATATAACAACAAGAAGTAAGTTATTTATATGCAGTGGCGAGTTGTATTAGATTATGGCGAGTTGTGTCAGATTATGGCGAGTTGTATTTGATTATGGCGAGTTGTGTCAGATTATGGCGAGTTGTATTTGATTATGGCGAGTTGTATCAAATTATGGCGAGTTGTATCAAATTATGGCGAGTTGTACCAAATTACATGAGTTGTATCAAATTATAGCGAGTTTGCACAATATGAGTTGTATCAAATTGTGATCTGTATTAGATTATAGCGAGTTGTATCAAATTATGGCGAGTTGTATCAAATTATAGCGAGTTGTATCAAATTATAGCGAGTTGTAATAAATTATGGCGAGTTGTAAAAATTATAAACATAACATTAACTTGTCTCACAATATATATATAATGAATTTATATAAGAAGTATCCAATAGCGATTAGTAATTTATATACTATCATATACAAAAGGTAATTAATCCCTTTAATACAATCACATAATAAAAAAGTGAAGTCATATAAAAAACACCAAATGATAATATCACTGAATCTCATATGATCGATTTATATAATGGTTATATAGCACAATAAACTAATTTATATAAAACAGAAAGCTGCATTACAGATATATTAATATTATATAATCTCATTAACATATAAATATCAAATTACACGATACTTCAATTCCTATAATTATTTATATAAGAATTATAGGTTAGGTTAGAAGTTAAGGTTAGGCTAGGTAGGTTAGGCTAGGTAGGTTAGAGGCTAGGTAGGTTAGGGTTAGGTTAGGTTATGTTAGGTTAGGCTAGTTATATTAGGTTAGAGTTAGGTAGGTTAGGTTAGGAGGTTAAGTTGTAGGTAGGTTAATAGGTTAGGTTAGGCTAGGTTAGGTTAGGTTAGGTTAGGTTAGGTTGGTTAGGTTAGATTAGGTTAGGGTTAGGCTAGGTTAGGTTAGGTTAGGTTAGGTTAGGTTAGGCAGGTTAGGTTAGGTTAGGCAGTCTTTTTTGTGGTGTGGTTTGATCTCTCCCTTCATTATTGTGTATGTGAATAAAACTCCAATTGTATACTTTATTCACATTTACATCTTTCACAACAGTAACATGAGACACATTTAGTCCTCTATAGCATGATATAACTTAACTCTATATTATCTAACTATATATTTCTATATTATGATTTCTTAATTGGAATTCTATAGGTGTAAAACCACTATAGGAGATAAAGGTGTAGTTTGAACCACTATAGTGCGATAATGGTGTAGTTTGAACCACTATAGTGAGATAAGGGTGTAGTACCACTATAGTGAAAATAGTTTGAACCACTATAGTGCGATAATGGTATAGTTTGAACCACTATAGTGAAATAAAGGTATAGTTTGAGCCACTATAGTGAGATAATTGAGTCGTGTATCGCTGGAAGTGCGTAGTGCGTCGTTGGAGATGCGTCATGCGTCAATTGATTCGTTTGACCCTAAAGTAACCATGATAACTGACTAGTGTCGTTTAAGGTAATATTATCCTAAAAAAATATCCCTAAAATAATCCAGGTTAATTGACTGTTGACATTTAAGGTAATATCTAAAATAATTTATCCTTAAAATAATTTACTATAAACAATTACGATAATCTACAGACATATTTAAAAATAATTAAGGTGCTATTTAAGGTAATAATTAGGTCTAGGTAAATGTTTTTAAGGTTATGCTAATAAATCTATCCTAAAATCCCTTAAGAAAACAATTAAACCACAATCCTTAAAATATTCGCTTACGGTAACCTAAAAGAACGCATCGAAAAAAAAAACCCAGCGTGTGTGTGTGTGTGTGTGTGTGTGTGTGTGTGTGTGTGTGTGTGTGTGTGTGTGTGTGTGTGTGTGTAGCCCCTTCCTCCTCACATAAAATAACACCAAGTACAACCGATGTGTGTGTTCGTAAGTCCGGAAAATCGACGCTACCGGTTAATTAGATATCCGGGATTATTTAAGCTTCGGATAATACAACACCACGCTATCAACCGACCCTGGATGATTACCCCAAAAAATTGTCAGCTGCATTAGAGGAAATTTTATGCCTTTGTTCCGACTTTACTCACTTACTGAAGCTCTGGACCGACAATTTGTGAAGAGTGAAGAGCAGGGGAGTCACAGTAAACATGGGGTGAAAGGCAGATATGATAAAGAAGGAGATGGTAAAAGGTAAATGAGGAGGAAAACAATGATAACTAAGAAGAACACAGGAATAAAGACGCATAGACTCAATGAATAAACGGACATAGACACATACAGACATAGGGAAATACAAAGGGAAACACGAACACAGGGAAACACAAGACACAGGGAAACACGACACAGGGGAAACACGGACACAGGGAAACACAGATACGATAACACACAGACACAGGGAAACACGAACACGGCGAAACACGGACACGACAGAAACACGGACATGGGAAACACGAATACAGGGAAACACGAACACAATAACACACGGACACAGGGAAACACGGACACAGGAAACACGGACACAGGGAAACACAGGCTGAGGGAAACACGGACACGGAGAAACACGGACACAGGAAACATGGACACAGGGAAACACAGACACGAGCAGAAACACCGGACACAGGAGGAAACACAGG